ATCCAAGAGGTCATCTATGCACCCACCACCGAGTCCTCGGCGGGCGAACCCTCGGTTACCATTGCACAAGCGCAAGTTCAGTCGCGACATTTACGACACACGGAACCGCCATGGCGATCCGGAACCGTCCTGGAGCCGCGTCGAAAAAATTTCTTCGATTTTGTGCAAAGGGACATAGGGGATCTAACGGTTACGACCAGGTTGCAAGCTAGGTCGAAGCCCAAACGCGTCAGATTTGCCGACGAAACCTCGGTGACAGGTGGAGAAGACGTCACACAACGAGAGGAAGCCAACGGTGTGCCAACAGAGGATTCAGGTTTTTTGGAAACAGAGTCAAGACTAACGGCACCCAACGGTAATACCCCCGCGTTGCCTAACGCGGAAGACGTGGACCCTCTAACAGTCCAAAGAGAACGCCGAAGAAGGATCGCGACTGCTCAGGACGAGGAGTTACGGTGGGCGAATTTGAAGACGGTTCTCTGCGGGGAAGAATCAAACCTAACGTACCGTGCAGAGAGAAACGCGTGGAAAATGTCCGACCACTTCGTTCTAAGTGAGGACAACGTGCTCTGCTATGTGGGAACGAGACCTCTGAGGTGTGACCAACAGCAAGAAGACACGATGCTGCGCCTAGTAGTACCCTCAACGAAGGTTCAGGAGGTACTACAGAACTGTCACGACTCGTTGGAAGGAGGCCATCAAGGGATCGCCCGAACTTTCTACAGAGTTAGGTTGGACTATTACTGGATCGGTCTATACACAGACGTGGCGAGGCACGTGCGGTCCTGTCCCGACTGTAGCTCAAGCAAAAGTCGACCAAAGATCCGTGGATTCTCTCCGGGAAACATACTAGCGGAACGACCGTTTCAGGTTGTTTCGACGGATTTTGTGATACCCTTACCGAAGTCTCGACGGGGTAACACAGCGCTCTTACTGTTCCAATGCGCATTCACAGGGTATGTGATCGACAAACCCATGACAGACACGACTGCTCTGAGAGTGGCTCAGGCTTTTGAGGAGTGTGTACGGGAGATTCGGCGCACTCTCTCACATCAGACATGACAGAGACCCTCGATTCATGAACGAGGTGTTCTAATCGTTCACCGAAATGATGCAATCAAGGTCTAGGGCAACGTTGAGCTACCGACCCCAAGCCAATGGCCAGCAAGAGCGCTCGGTCAAGACCGTCATGAAATCAGTGCGAGTGTACGCAGAAGACCCACTCCAACAAGACTGGGACGAGATTCCCGAGAATTTGATCTTTGCGATCAACAACTCAATGGATACAACGAGGAAAGAGACACCCTTTTTCCTCGTCCATGGGTGGGACGCTCAGTCAACTCTAAAGGCGATGTCCTCGTCGCTTAAACGAGGACTCGGTCGACAGTCAGATGCACTGGCATGGCGTCGAGAAGTGAACCGCCAGCAAGAAATAGCTCTGAAAATGGCCAAGGAATATCAGACCACCGAGAAAGCTCGGAGAGCGAGAAAGCACAATGAAAGCCTCCGTGACCGAGAAAGAGGTACAGCCCCAGAAACTGGCCGAACCGTCACGCCAAGTGACGAACGGTCTGCGACAGGGGCAGTGACCGGGGACTCGGACAGCAATGCTACGCAGCGCAACGAAGTCTCTGTTTGAGGTCGGGTGTCGAGTATGACTGTATATGGAACGAGTGACGCCAGGATTGACAACAAATCTTGCCCACCGATGGCATGGACCGTTTAGGGTCAAAAAGAAAGTAGAAGAGTTCGCCTACGAGCTCGAACTTCCGGTACCGATTTTACCCGGTGGTGCATGCGTCACGCTTAAATATGGTAGATCAATTTGGAGACCGACCGAGTGCTCATTTGACACAGGACGTGAACGGGTCTCACGATTTGGATTTTGTCGAGGAATTGCTCCCAGAGGATAGCTGGAAACCAGACCATGTTGTGGGTGAATACGAAGTCGATGTGATAAGAGACGATAGGACCCCTCTGTCCACTAGCACAGAACGAGACGCCAGAGAATTCAAGGTGAAGTGGACCGGTTATAATGACCCGACGTGGGAGCCTGCATCCAATCGCTCGTGCGGTGGTCTATTATACGACTATCTCCGAGAAAAACGTCGTGACCGAAGGTTGCAAATGGTCCAAGTCGCTGACGAGGATTATATGTGACTGATGAATGATATGTCTGTGGGGTTAAGTGCAGCCCACAACAACAGACGAAAGAAGTTTGCTGCACCAGAATGCATTTTACATATTTGTATATGATGTGAACGAGTTTTCGGAATGGAATATGGAGATATGGCGAAGGGAGATTACGAAACTACTTGGGTTATCACTAGATTAATGCTTGAAAACTGAACTACTCCGAAGCAAACCGCTCGCTGGTCGCAATCTGGACTAGCATCTCGAACGGAGCGTGGACTCTGTCGGATGGAGGATCCTCCACGTCGTGAGCAGGAGCCTCAACACCAGTGGGGTAGCCAAGCGCTCGGTCGCGAAGTTGTAGTCTCAGCAGGGACAAACGAGATCGAGTCCTCGTCCAAAGCCTCTGCCGTCTCAACAGGAGCTGAAGGAGCGCCCTCAATGCCGACCGAGCCCTCTTCAGCAGCCCTGGCTGGCGAACCTTCAGTGATCCCAGCAACAGAAGGAGCCGTGGTGACCCAAGGAGCTGTGAGATCAGTGTTAGCCAGGGATTGATCCACAACGATACCAGATATGACGGCCTGCCGGGTCATCGAAGTTGGCACGAAAAGCGGGGCACTGGGATTGCAGGGAGCATACGTAGTGTTGTATGGATGATCTGCAGGGGCATCAATCCAGCAATTTCTCCATGGCGGTTTTGCATCCAACTCCCGCAACTCCCGGAACCAATCTGTGGTATCTGGAGCCCATTCCAGCACCTCCGTTGAATATTTGGAGGTAGCTACGCTGCAGCAAAACCTCTGTGGGCAGAGTGCGAGTGCGACCTCCAGCACTTGTACACCATTCCCACAACCGATCAATCTGCTGACGCAGAAGATCAGCGCGGTTGTTCCTCATCCGATTGAGATGATTCCACAAACCAAGGATCACATGAGTAAAGGGATCCAAAGGGTCCGAATCATCTTTAAACTTGCGGATGGCGTTGTCCAAAGCCGACACTTGGAGCCAATGCCGGCGCTCCCATAACGCGACGCATAAGTCAATCTTCTCGTTGTCTTCGTAGCAGTCGTCCGAGAAGCGGCGCCACATCCGAACGAGACCACCGTGACCTGAGGTGCGAAGGGAAATCCGCACGCCTTGGACGAGCTTTCTTAATTCGAAAGTCAAGGGCTCGTTCAGCATGCGGTAAAAAACACCCGCCACGGATGTCTTGCGCTATGGACGTTGTACATTAGCGCAAGGAACGCAAAGTCGAGCGGAGATGCGTGGTCCTTGAGGGCCGCCTCAGAGAGGCTCACATTGAGCATCTGACACCAAACCTTTTGGGCCCCAACAGCGGCAAACCAGACTCAAGAAACCGTTCCACAGTGACCGTGAGTTTCCGGGAGTTTGCGGCCCTGGACACCACCGTATCCGCAGGAACGAAGGCTGAGGTGTCTGTGCCTCGTCGGGCCGTCACTGTAGCAGTAACTACGTGAGGTTTCCGTCGAGGCCAAGAACCACCCTGCATCCCAACACCAGGTACATGGCGAGGAATAGGAGCCGGCTGGGTGGGTGGGACCACTAGCGGTACGATGTGAACGAGCCCTCGTTCTCGCTGGGGCGACCGTGATAGTGGGCGAGGCTTCCGACACAGGAGCAGACGACACAGCTGGAGTAGTCGGCACCACAACAGAGTCTGACACGAGGTGAGAGACGGAAGACTCGGTGCCGATAACACCATCCGCAGCAGTCGCCTCCACATCCTTTGCAGGATTGTCAGAGGCTTCCAGATAAGCCAAATCGACATCCACGTCGTTGAGGAGCTGGGAAATCGGCACAGCCGAACCGGGCTAGACACGGGAGACGCACCGCTGACAGAGGACTCGGAGACAGCTGGATCGTCCACCGGAGCCTGTACGTCAGAGACTTCCCTGGTAAGAGAATGGTCACCACCGCCGGCAGGACTGTCAACCGAGTCCTCGGCGGTCTGAGGGAGATACAGGGCTATGCGAACCCTTTTTGCCCTGCGCCAAACCAATATTGCCGGTGACTGAGTCCTCGGCAGTCAAACCAAGCATGAAGTCGTCATCAGCCAATTCCTTCTCGAGACTCTCCCGCATCCGCAGCTCGGACGCGACGGAGGAGCTACGCCTCGACCAGCCATCCTTACGAGGTAAGTAAGAGTCGACCGGGGAAGAGAATGGGCTAGACGCCTTCTTCCGAGAAGGTTCCACCGCGTCGTCGGATGTTAAATCCAAGATTTCGACGGGGGGTTGTGACGGTGGGGCAAGATCAGGCGAGGGATGACTCAGCACCTCACTGGACTTGTGCTCCTCAAGTGGAGCAGATGGTTGCAGAGAGCTCCGTTTGTCGACAGGAGGACCAGCACCAATGTCAATTTCCATGTTGTCGACAGCTTCACTACTGTCGTGAGCCGAGCCAAGAGGTGAGTGAGAACTCTTGAATGAAGGAGATGGCCCCCTTACGGTGTACGGGAAAGCCGATGCATTTTTGGGCCAGACCGCGCTTTTGGAGTGGTCACCACGGCCGCTGGTTTCCTCTTCAAGTCTACCGATGGAGGACCGAGCCTTTGTGAAGCAGGGAGCTTGGAAGACGCCGATAAGGAGGACTGTGTCGATGTATATGGCCGGAGACGGCGGCGCTTGCGAACCGGCATGTCGGATGGGGAATCGTCAAACAAACCTCCATCGCTACGGCCATCATGAGAGGACTCGGTCGAGTCCTCTCATGATGTAGGCGACGTGACAAGAGCATCATCCAAAGGCCGGATGAATGAGTGCTCGGCCGACCATCTAGTGGATGTAGTGGAGGCAGGAGGCGTCGGTGGCGACGCCAGCGAGGCTCGGCGGCCGGAGAAGCAGGCTTGTCATCGACAGAGTCCAGAGAAGGAGAACTTGGTGACATAAGCCGTAAGACCCCTGTGTGATCAGGACCCAGACCCAGGAGCTCCCAGTCGAGGTATGATGCCGAAAACTCAGCAGTCGAGAGGATGAGTGCATCTGTGTTGAGCCCGTGCTCGGCAGAGTTTTGGCGAAGCACGGAAATAGCACGACGAAGACTGGCATTCTCGGCCAGCAGAGCTTTCACCCGCAGCGACGGAGAGTAGACCTTCCCTCGGTCGTGCTCTTCCAAGTACTCCCTGAGCTTCGCAAGCTCGGCATTGTACACCTTGAGCCCAGTCTTCATGCGCTCACGCTCTTGGGTGACGTAGCGCATTGCTGCAGCACAGTCGGCATTAGAAAAACGGCAGCGGTCCTTCCACCGCTGAACGCTGTGAGCCTGCTCCGCGACCGTAATATCCAGTTCGCGGATACGAGTAACCAACTCCTCGTTTTCCCTACGGAGTTCTTCGTTGGCGTCGTGAATGGTGTAAAAGTCCTCGGTGGACCTAACACCGTCCGCCTCGGCCGCTCTACGGAGCTGCACCTCGTTAGCGAGGCCACGTTCAGCGCCCTTGCACCGAGTTTGGAGACGAGACACTTCGTCCCTCAAACGGACCAACTCATCGGCCTCCTGGGGAGGAAGCCGAGGAGGGCCACGGCAGCCGCCAAAACCTCTTGGACCGTCGAAGCGCTATCCAAGCGCTGGCCTCAGTAGGAATTGACGCGAGCAGGGGGCTGCCGGGCCATTTCCACCACGAGCTTGGCTAGTTTACACATGGAACTCAGCGAAGGCTCTGTGGCGTCCCCACGAAACTCGACCGAACCACCCGACAACGCCCCACTCCCACCAGATACCCCGCGAGTTGGCGAATCCACCGCCGGTGCGGGAGTTGGTGTCTGTGGAAGGAAGGCATTCACCAAGGAAGCCTCCGGCTCATGTGCTGCCGGGAGGCTATCCTGCAGTTGAGAACCCTCGGACGCCCCGCCATCGAACACATGTGCGGGAGTTGGCGACCGAGAGCTCTCAACCGAGGCTTCGGGAGG